AGGTGGCTCAGTGGTAGAGCACTTGCCTTGCATGCCTGAGGCCCTGGGTTCGATTCCTCAGCACCACATAAGCAGAAAAAGCCGGAAGTGGCGCTGTGGCTCAAGTGGTAGAGTGCTAGCCTTGAGCTGAAGAGCTGAGGGACAGCACCCAGGCCCAGAGTTCAGCCCCCACGACCGGACCCCCCCCCCAAAAAAAAAAGAATTACTTTGAAGTAGTTGTCTGAAGGAGTTTCCATGTAACAAGGCAGTTTATGAATACAGGGAACCTTTTTTCTTTTTTAAGAAGTAGAAGCTTGAGGGGTAAAGGAGTCACAGGATGCCTGGCAAGAATTAGCAAAAATGGATGTTTTAGAAGCAAGCTATCTCGGGAGCATGGGGATGGGTAGGTGATGATCTCCCAGAAGGGCATCACTGCTTCCCTAGTGACAGTAAGGAAGGGCTTGAGGGCAGGATGGTTGTTGGGAGTGAAGGCTGAGTGCAGTAGACCACTGTTCTCTCTCAAGTATGGTTTTCATGGACATTTTTCAGTAGCAAAAGTAGAGAACACAGTGGAACAGTGGAATGACACTTCATGTGAACATTGTCCAGCTCTGGGGTCACCATGTGGCTGATTGTTTGTCTCCTGTTTAAACAAAGCAGGTCTTACTGCAGTAGGATCCTGCCTAGCACTGAGGGTTGAAGAGACAGGAGGGTAAAAAAATGGTTTTAATAATAGCTATGGGGCCAAAAAGATGGGAAGAAATGAACTGGAGAGTAGATAAATCTCTTAATGGGAATCGGTTTCTTCTATCCAATTTTTAGAATTTGTTCCAAATTATCTAGCCATTCTAAGTTGCGAGGCTTTGCGTTTAAAAATAAAACCCAAAACAAAAAAATGAAACTATTGCACAATAGTTTATACTATTGTATAAGCTAAGGGTAAGCTAAAAGTCAACATGAATAAGTAAGGTCTTTAAGCCAGGTATTTGCCCTTTTGCAAGATTCCTTATCTCCCTCTACCCCCATTTCTTTCTTTTATCTTCTCCTTCATTCTCATTCTCAATCTCATTCTCATTTATTCCCTTTTCTCCTTCCTTCCCAACTCTCTCCTCTCTTTCTCCTGTACCTAAGGGCATCTGCATGCTAATCAAGCCATTTTACATACTTATTCATAAATACAAGTAAATGTTGGATTATAATAGATAACACCAAATATCTGACCTAGGCAGTAATGGCCAAAAAGCTGAATCATCATTATGTCTGTGGCAAGTGTGAATATTGAGCAATTTTGACTGAATGAGAGCTATTCCTCAAGCAAAAATCACTGCCATTGCATAATTGTACTTCCTTAAGTGATTTCTTTGTACATCATAACTCCTGTCACTTATTTTAGTGTTCAGACTTAAATGTAGTGGGCACCTTAGAAAGAAAGTTCAACTCACTAAAAGTGATTTATCGAAGAGCCCCACAACAATTATCTAGCCAGTAAGAAAATCAGTAGCTAGTGCCAAATTGAGAATGTTTGGTCTGTGTGTGTGAAATGTACTCATACTCCATAGGTGTGTTTCCTTCCATGTTTGCAAGGATTTCTGAGGTAATCAGATGATGAGTTGAGGAGAGCTGAACACAGACTGGTTAGCACTATTTTATTGGCAGTGACTTCACTCAGAATTCAGGGAAGTGGCTGGGGTATGTGTGTGTATGTGTGAGGGGTGGGCACCAGGTGAGCAGGCTGCTCAATTTGTCTTTGATCTGGACAAGGAGGTGGGACTAAGAAAGTATTCGTTGTTTAATTATACTTAATTTAAAATATACTTATATAATTTGTATACTGATACTTTTATACAATCTATAACATATAATTTTATAAAATGCACAATTTACACTTTAATTATTACTGATAGTTTAGTTTTCTACGTATTCCTTCCTACAACCTGAGTAAGGGGTAGCAGCTTCCCAAAGAGCAGCCCAGAACTCTGAACCCTTACTAGTCCAAAACGCTGTTGCTCCTCCAACAGTGTGCTGGCAAGATTGCTGATTTGGGCCATACTGGGCCCACTTCCCTCTGGTCCCAAGCTTTGCAAGGAAAAAGATCTCACAGGGTATGGTGGCACATGTCTATAACCCCAGTACAGGGGGACTAAGCCAGGATGGTCTTCAATTTGATCTCAAAAGGAAGGGAGAAAAGGGAGAGAGACCAGAGGGAGGAACTGAGGATGGATCCCAAATAAACAAAAACAAAACAGAGAGATGAGGAGGGGAAGGAGAGAGAGCTCCCTCTTTCAAGGTGTACAGTGTTGTGAATGAGGCTGGGAAAGGGGCTTTGGGATGACCTCATTTTAGAGGAGGAGCTCTGTAGTAGGCAGCCCAAGAGGTTTTCCTTGTCAACAGAAACAGGTTTTGACTGAGGTCTGTTTGTCTTCAAAGTCCAAGTTCATTCCACTTTCCTCACATTGTGTAAAAGCACAATCTAACCATGCTAAGAGTGACGCCAGAAATTTGAATGTTGTCATGGCTTACAGATTGCTTAGAAGAAGAGAAATCAGGGAAGGAATGAGC